GGGGGAGGGAGGGAGAGAGGGAGGGAGGGAGGAGGAAGAAGGAGGAGGGGGGGAGGAGGAAGAAGGAGGAAGGGGAGAGAGGGGATAGAGGGAGGGAGGAGAGAGAGAAGGAAAAAGTGAATGCAGTAATAATATTTTAAGTGTTAAGTGAGTTTGTATTTCTTATATTCATAGAATGTAAGAAAGGTTATTATGGAGTCAACTGTGCTCAGAAGTAAGACGCTAAAAGATGTATTTATTATTATTATTTTATTTATTATTATTTTATTATTATTTAAAGGTGTGTGTTTCCTGATTGTTCTGGTAATGGACATTGTTCTATAGTCAATGGACCATGTTTATGTAACAAGGTATAGCAGTTATTTTTATTAGAGAGAATCCCCACATAAAATACATATTTCACTTAATATTGACTTGAATGATAGACCAGTAGGAATGTGCTATAATAACATGCTTACTGTGCACATTTAGCCCTATAGTTATGATTCTCTAGTCAACTTACACGTTTATTCTTGTTTTCTCTCTCTCCCCCTCTCTTTTTCTCTCTTCCTTTCTCCTTCTCTCAGGGTTGGACTGGTATATCTTGTAGTATAACGCTAATAGAAAATAATCAAATGAATACATCCTCTACCTTATTTATCACATCATCATCATCATCATCATTATTAGCTGATACTCCTAATGCTAGTACTGCAGTGCCAATGATGAACTCAATCTCCTCATTACTGTCTCCTACTAATGATGTGTCACTACAGGATATTACTGTATTGAATAATGATAATAAATCTATTGATGGTTGTAATGGAACTAATAATAGGTGAGGGAGAGGGAGGGAGGAAGAGAGAAAGAGAGAGAGTGTGTGTGTGTGAAAAGTAATATGCTTGTATGTACATGACATATGATTATACTATTCTTTCTATTTCTTTCTTTCATTTTCTAGTAGTTCATCTCCTCCAGTTAATTACAGTGCTAACGATGATGATAATCAATTTATTATTATTATTATATTAATTGGTTTAAGTACTGTCACTATACATGTTATACTGTGTGCCATTCACATATGTTGTCATGGTAACGGAGAGATAAAGTTTAACAAGTCAGAGATAAAGAGAGAACTGATGGAGAGGAGAGAATGGGAACAGATCATGTTACAGAACAGCAACTGGAATAGCAGCACTGATGAAGATTAATGTATTATTATAAATATTATAATAGCAAACAATTGATACTGATATTCAGTGTTATTGGTGAGTTCCAGTAACTATTTTCATGAGGTCCTATATACCACACACATACACTGATACACCCATATACTGGTAGATACACCCATCTATGTTGCTCTGTACATGTAGCTGTAAAAGCAGTTTTAAACTACAGATCATTGAGTAAAATGACCAAGTTTAGTAAAATAACAGTATAGTAGATTAAATCAAACAGTCAATGCATGTGTCACAGTTCATGTAACTTAGTGTATGCTTCCTTAATAAAACCTTCTCATGTGGAAAGATCACACCACATACTCCCACTATATTCTTGTGCTTTGTGATTTACAAGATGATTGATATCTCTCAATGGAGAGCAAGTATTGGACTGTGGAATTACTGTCAAGCTGCCTCCAGTAGACCAGCTAATGGCCGCCACTCTCACTCATTCAAAGCTGCAATAGACAGCAAGTCAGGCAGTACTATATCAGGAGAGAAGACATCTAAACTGTCAGCAGCTCTGTCTCTTATTGCTTTACTCCTCTTTCTCTCTCTCTCTTTATTAAGACACATCTTGATGATTCCTCCAACAGGTATAAACAACAATTGCAACTTTGTACTTGTATATTTACTGGTATTTTATTATTAGGTAACTGCTACCAAGTACAATGTACTACTGG